TTTCTGTCTCTCTGTCTCTTTCTGCCTTTCTGGTGAGCGCATGTGCTATAGCAAAAACCTCTCAAAAAAAAAAAAAATCTTGGGTCAAATATGAGACCAATCTTAGTTTTTGATCAAGAATGATACTTTTTTAGAGATTATTTTTCATCAAAAAGGAAGATACTGTAAAAAAAAAAGATACTGGGTTGTCAGAAAAGTCATGACATTTTTCTACTTTTTTTAATGCAAAAATGCGTCATGACTTTTCTGATGACTCAATATTTCAAAGGAAAACTATGGATTCCATATAGTGCACCCTTCTGGGTTACCAGATTCTAATGGCTCTCTTCATTACCCTTAATCTATCTGAAACCCTTCATAAATTGTTGGTAATTAATGAATATGTAAACTCTATCCTATATTGTATTAATTTAATTTACACCTACCTCCCCAAAAATGTGTGATTTGTCATTCATCTACACATTTTTTTTACTCCTTATAAATTTGTGCTGCTGACTTCCCTTTTGAGCTGGTTTTAACCATGTATCTGATTTTGTCATGTGATGAGAATAAAATGAAATCTTTAACATCTGTACATTTTTATATAAAATCGTATCAGAGTTATGATTTTAACTTTTCCTGAAAATTATCTTTTAATAGTAGGAAATACTATAATAAAAAATTATGAGAAGAGAATTGAAAATCATGACTATGCTATTAGAGAATCATGTCCACATGACAGTCATAAAAAATTCCAGTGAGTGTTCTGGCTCTCCTTCTTCCTACTTGGACTATGAATGCAATAGCTGGATCTGCAGCAGCCACAATGAGTCATGGATTGGAAATTAGATGTTGAGGGTAGCAAGAGAAGCTCAAGTCTATGAATACATCATAATATTCCTGAACTGCTTACTAGATTTTACATAAGGAGAAAAAAACTTCTATCTTATTTAAACACTGTTAATTTGGGGTTTCTGTCTCTCACAGTTGAACCTAAACCTAAGTAGTAATTACTTTTATTGTGACTCCAAATGATAAATTTTAATGTTTGTGAAATTACATGAAGCTGTATTTGCTATCATTTCAAGAATAGGTCAACAATGAGAATGTAGTATATAATTCATTTTTATAGATTCTCAGTAATAATTATTAAATGTCTCTTTTATGGTTAACAATCCAGCATAAGAATTGTTTGAATTTAAATAAAAAAATTGGGGCCAGCTAGTGGCAGACTGGTTAAGGCAGCTGGATCCCACACGGCCAATTTTATGGTTTGAATCTCAGACCAAGCAGCTTGAAAAATATGCGAGGCACGTGGGCATGAGTATCCGAAATCCCTAGAGGAGAATGGAGGAGAAAGGATTGTGGTATGGCCATTGCCCCCAGGGTGGGTGTGGAGGGGTGATTTCCCACTTTCTCCTCTTTCTCTTTCTTTCCCTCTCTATCCATCTGAAGAGCACACATGCCCTCTAGCAAAACTAAACAAACAAAAAAAAGTAAATAAATTAAAAATTGTTACAATTTACAATAAACAAATGAAGATGAATAGGACATAGGTTCATTTCTGAAATAATTATTTCTGACTCCTTGGTGACCCTTCAGAGATAATTTTCCCACCTGAAAATAAAGTTCAGCTTTTACAGGATGAGTAATACATTTGAGACAACAGAGGATCTTTCTATCTGTGGAAAGTATTTTAGCAGATTTGGGATTGAAATGCAAAAATCATGTAATACTGGATAAAATTGGGGCTAACAGGAGTAAATATGAACTTTTAGAAAAAGTTCAAGTATCAACAAGTCATGGAATTATAGTTTATCATTATAATAGGTACTTAGAAGAAATGTCTTCTGAAGAAAGAAGGTGAAAATCTTGCATTCCCCAGTCTAGGAGTTAACCTATGGAACCTAGATCTGTTACAGCAGAATTCATTCCCATGTTTTAAACATTTTTCCTCTTTTTCTCTTCTCAGAGGGTCAGCATGGAGCTTATAGAAGCTGTTGTTTTAAATCTATTTACATTGTATGTTTAGGGAGTGGGGCAATAAAGGAAGGCTGGATTTGGAAACCCATAGAAGATGTTGAAGAACCAAGTTTGGTGTAAAAAAAGAAAAAGTTAATGCTTTACAACTAAGGTAAGACATTTTAAGGAATTATTTTCTTATTGATATTTTAGATGCAAGATGCATTGAACAGACCTGAACAGAAAACTGAGAAGTGAACTTTAATGGACTAAATGCAGGATTAAATTCCTGCATTTAGGAGAGACGCTACCTATATTTTTCTAAATGTTTAGGTTTAACAAAAATAAATCTAATGTTAATTTTATGAACTCAGTAAGTTGAATTCCCTGCCATTTTTATTTAACATGAATTCACCTGGGGATCTGGAGGCACTTTCTGAAGCTATTAGAGCTACTGCAAACTGCCACACAAGGAGTCCATTTTAAGACCTTCCCTAGAGGGCAAATTTAGAGAGAGCTCTATTTCTATTTTTCCTCCTGAATAATGCCAGAAGACCAAGTTGACCCTGCCAGGACTTGATCCTTTACCTCAGTGATTTCTCACCTGAGACTCGAAGCATTTAATAGTACTTGAAGTCCTTTAGCCAGGCCTTCTTACCCTGCATTTCTAATCAGGGAAACATAAACTGAGATCTGTCCTTAAGCTGTTTTACTTTGCCTTTTAATGGCCTCCGTCTCCTTTCATGCAGCATTATCTTGATAAATTGCCATTTTTAACGAGCATTTTTTGCCTGGAAAGTGTACACTAGAACAGGTACTGAAGGTTCTTCTTGAAATTTTGGCCAAATTTTGTGTAACTCCATCACAGGCTGTGTTAATATCCCACATTAGTCCTGATTTCTCTCTTCATTTCTTATTCGTGTACTGGATAGTTTAGCAAATAAGATTGAGTGGATTTTCCCAATAATAAAGCCTAATTCTGTATCTATAACAGGATTAAAAACATACAATAACAGGATTATACTCAGAAAAATCCAGGTAGACACTGAAATTTCAGAAGGAAGGAAGGAGAAAGAGAAAGGAAGAAGAAAGTGATGAGGGAAAGGTGGAAGGGAAGGAGGAAGGAAAGGAGGGGAAAAAGGAGTAGAGAAAGAAGAGAACAGTCCTAATAAATCAGGTCACGTTCCTTGAATTCAAATGTTAATTATTCCCAGTGAAAATACTGTGGTAATTGATTTATAGAGGTATGTTAGAATTTGAATCACTTACCTACATTCATCCCTGGAAATCGAGCAGTAGTTTAAAGAAAACTTAGGTGGTAATTTCTCTGTACTTATTACACTTGGAGGAGCACTTGAAAAACACTACACATAAACAAAATACAAAGCAGGCACATCACTGTGGAGTATAAGTTCTTTAGAGTGACAATAACAATTAGTATAAAAAGAGCAGCGCGGGCTCCATTGAGGACTACCATTTTCTCAAAAGCAAAGGAGCAATTTAGAGGAAAGCTACTGAAATTAGTTACCATATCTGTGAACTGATTGTTAAATAACTCCCTGAACAGACTTTGAAATAACACAAGGGTGTAGCCATGCTACTATGGGTGGGCTGATGGCAAAGAACATTTTTCTGAATTCATTTATATTTACCTGAAGTTTCCTCTGGTCAAGTAAGTTTTTTGTCCATCTGGAAGTCAAGAAAACACCTGCCTCTCTGTTCTGTTCATTTTTTTTTTATGGTAATAGATTTATACTTTTATTAGAGGATTTCACCCCCAACTGCTTTGTAATTATCAAGAACAGATCTCAAATTCTTATTTAAAAATAAAGTTAATGTCATGCCCAAAGTCATGGAGTAATTTAGAAGTGATGTTTAAAATAGAAATTTAGACTACTGACTTGAAATCCCATGCCCTGACCACCAGACCACACGCCTGCCCAAGGATATTTAAAATTTTTACTGAGTTATTCTTCTTTGTAATTAGATGCAGTGATTAGAGTGTCTTTTGCATTACTCTGCATTTTTCTTTTAAATCAGGGTTGTAAGCCACATAGGGAACTGTCCCTTACAAAACTAAACAAGGGATTTTCAGTTTTGCAATACAATCTCCTGATATTTGTTTATAGGTTTCACACATCAAAAAACAATGAGATCTGTAATTTTTCAAATTACAATCTTCTCATTCTCTAAGTTATATGCCTATGAGAATTTGCAGATCTTTTGAAGAGAATGTAATCTTTATGCTTACAAAATGTAGACTTTCATATTTGGGTACAATTACAAATCAAGGCCTTTTCTCCCCATAATAATCGGGCCTTTTCTCCCCATAATAATCGGTTTCTAAAGGCTGTGGGTTGTCCTCATTCTAAAATAAATTAATGGGAATTTAAAAATATAATTCATCCAGTTATTAAATCTTTTGAATCCTTAAAATTAGAAACCATTTATATTCTCAATCCCCAAAGACGCAAAAATGACATAAAAAGCTTTATATTATAGCATATTACAAGTTAATTGCTTTGATTGGAGAAATAAGATTAAACAGCTAAAACCATTTCAATTTAAGTTAAAAAAGAAACCTTTTATATGGCTGCTTATCATTTAGTTTTTTTTTTCATTACAGGTATATATTATGTGACTTTAAATATTCCATTTCTTTCTATCAAATATCTTTCAAAAATGAATGTCCATTTTGGAAAGCAAAAAAATCACAAAGCTATGGATGACTTTCAAAGGAATTTTAATTAGGTAGCATTCGATGCTGCAAAAAACAGTATCTTTAATAAATCTAAAAAAACTGATGTTAAATTAGAGGTTGATCTATAAGAGAACTGATTTTTGCATTATCATTATTCATTTTAAGATAATACATTATAGTTGCTAAATAAAATAGTAATTTCATATAGAAATTTATACATATTTTCTTAAGGCTCTTATCTAATTTTTTAGAAATTTTGTTCTTAAAACCTTGAGTGTTGGACATAGGGTTTTTTTTTTTCCTATTAATACTTTATTTTGAGATGAAAATGTGGTCATTCACATTTTTCCAAACCTACCTGGAGCGATCTGGTGGTGAGTGAGATTTGGGGGAGTGAAGTGGCAATAGATACTCATTAAACTATTAACAGCAACATAAAAAGTGTAAGCTTTTAGAAAAAAGCCGTTGTCTGGGACCGGCAGATGATATAATGGTTACTTTGCTGGACTCCCACATAGTTGATGGCAGTTCAAGTCCCAGACCTGGCAGCTTAAAATGCTGGCACATTTGCTTGTGTGCCCAAGATCCCCAGAGGAGAATGGAGGAGAAAGGATTGTGACTTTGGGGCCATCCCTCTCGGGAGCAATTTCTCACTTTCTATCTCTCTGGCAAGCACCCATGCCCTATAGCAAAAATATATCTCTCTCTTAAAAAAAAAAAAAGCCAGTTGTCATTGTTTTTGCCTATTTATTTAGTTTCGTAGTGTGGACATTGTGTGAGGGTGTAATTTCCTAGAGGGAAAATAAGGGAATCAGAAGCAACAATGTCCATACAAAGGTATCTTCCAAGTAGTAAGTTTTTGCCTCTTGATCACAACTCGAGCAAACAAGTTGGAAGGTAGGTTCTTTTCCCAATTTGCTAAACGCTGTACTGCCTGTGTCAATAACAACAGTGAAGAAGTAAAAGAATAAATGAATGAATAGTGGTTTCCTTGACACCTTTTAAATGAAGCTGCCAATTAACATCAATAGATACAGGTATACTGGAGGTAGGAAGAATAAACACTGACATATCTGAGAGAATGGAGCCATGGCTGGGACCAGGGATCCTTGAAGGTGAACATTTCTCTGACAGTGACCATTTGGGTTACCAGAACTTTTCCAAAATTAACATAAATTATGGAAAGACCGATAGATGGTCTTTAAAAAGTGCATGAAAAGGGCCAGCAGGTGGTGTGGTGGTTAAGGCGCTAGACTCTTACATGGCTGGCTGCAGTTCGAGTCCTGGAATTGGCAGTTTGCTTTTTCACTTTCCCTCTGTCTTTCTCTCTCTCTGGTGAGTGCACATGCCCTATAGTGAATTGAAAAATAATAGTAATAATAAATCAAATTAAATAAAGAATTCTTTAAAAATGCATATTGTGAAAACACTGCATAGATTTCAAAAGTTATTTTTGCACTGAAATAAACACAAACTTTAATTCCATTTTCACAATTTTTTAAAATACTCTTGTATTCATTTCAATTTGTGAATGAAACAGGATGGCTGGACTTTTCTTTAAATCAGACTTTGAAGGACAGGGTAGAGGGAAGAAGACAAATAGAGTACAGATGAAATAAAATGGACTACATGTTAGTAATTGCTGAAGTTAAGTGTACAGGATTCATTACACTCCTCTCTTGGGTTTGCAATTTTCTTTAGTACAAGTCAACAAACATACACCACTCCACCAAGAGTCTGATATAAGAAACATCTATATTGCCTAATGGTAGATAAAGTCTAATTTTAGAAACTTTTTCACATATTATGTAGATTAAGAAATTTGTTTTAAAAGTTGTGTCTTCATGATAAAAAAATTACTTTTAGCTCCAGATACAACAAATTATGATAGAAATTGATATTGTTGCTATCAGGTTTTTAATGATCTTGAAGAAAAACTAAGAAGTTATGCATATTATTCATTTTTTATGCAGAGTCTAAATGCTCTTAGGCATGTCTTTAGACTCATTTGGACAAGGGCCAAAGGCCAAGAAAGTAAAGAATTAAAAATGGCCAAATAACCAAGATATACCTTAATAACCCACCTGCTGCCGGCCATCTGTCAAAAAAAACTTCCATGCAGCCCTCTCGTCAGCGGTGGAGTTATCAGTTTATAATGTTTTCATGTCACTATCACTGCTTGGTCATGAGTCAAATTTACTTATCAAGTAAAATTAATGTTAGGTTCTAACCGAACAACTCTTAATCATTTTCTATTTCTCTTAAAGCTTCATTTCTTAACAAGAGGTACATGTGCTTCCTCACCTCTCCAGATAATTTTTTTCAGTTTTTGTTCAGCTCAATGATCAGTGACTTCATAAATAAATGTTAGTCTAATATATATATTAAGTAACTTATACAAAATGAGTTTTAATTCTTTTTTTAAGAATCATTTATTTAATTTTATTATCTTTATTATTATTTTTAAATTTGACCAGAAAGACAGAGACAGAGGAAAAGTGAGAAAGCAAGCCACCAGTTTGGGACTCAAACTGCCGTTGACCATGTGGGAGTCCAACACCTTAACCACCATGCCACCTGCAGGCCCTATGAGTTGAAATTCTTACTTTATCTTTAGGCATTATTGTAAGTTATGTGATGCATTCAAGTAGAAGCTGATCAAACAGAGTAAAGGAGAGGATTTTCCTAGCCCCACCTCCACCCTTTCCCACTCAAACAATAGCTTAATGATTGATTTGTGAATGTTTGGTATAGAAGCTTTATAAAGACAGCTATATATTACAGGATCTAGAATCCAGGAATTAGCCCTCTACAAGTACTCTTTTCAGTTTCTTCTCTTTTCTTTCTTTCTTTTTTCTTTTTCTTTTTTTTGGAGAGGTTTTTGTTATAGGGTACGTGCGCTCGCCAGACAGAGAGAGACAGAGAGACAGAAAGTGAGAAATCACCCCCCAGAGGGGATGGTCACACTGCAATCCCTTCTCCTCCATTCTCCTCTTGGGATCTTGGGCATGCACGCACATGCGCCCGGCATGAGTTTACGCCGCCGGGTCCAGGAGGCGAACCGTGGTTGACTACGTGGGAGTCCAGCGACATAGCCATTATGCTAACTGCTGGTCCCTCCTCTCTCTTTTTTTTTTCTTTCTTTCTTTTTTTAAACAGGGAATTTTGCTGTAGGGCATGTGCAATCGCCAGAGACACAGAGAGAGAGAGACAGAAAGTGAGAATCACCCCCGGGGAGATGACCATGCTGCAATCTGTTCTCCCCCAGTCTCCTCTTGGGATATTGGGCATGCATGCACAGGTGCCCAGCATGAGTTTCAAGTGGCTTGGTCCGGGACTTGAACTACAGTTGGCCATGTGGAAGTCCAGCAACGTCACCATTATGCCATCTGTTGGTTCCCCCTTTTCATTTTCTTATGGCACCTAATAAATAATTCTGTAGCAAAGTAGACCTCAATACCTTCCTTTGCAATTATTACCATCACAACTACCACATAATCTGTAATGAAAATAAACAATTCCAACCTTTAACAGCATTAATCAGAAATGTTTAAAGCCACGTTATTGAATTAAGAAAATTCAATATATATATAATATTGAATTCAATATATATAATATAAAATGACATCATTAGAAAAAACTTATGGTAAGAGAACAAGGCCAAAAATTAAGTGAACTGTTTACTTAAAATTAAGCTTTAGTTAATATTTATACAGTACAAAGGAGCTTCAAAAAGTTCACAGAAAGTATATATTATGAAAAAATTGTGCATGAATTTCACCAATTTTTATGTAACAAAATAAATGCATACTTTGATTTCATTCTTCCACAAACTTTTTGAAGTCCCCTCAGATTTTATCGTTTCCAACTGCCCATCCCCCTAATCTATCTATTTACAAAAAGGAAGGGTTGATAATTCAGACCACATAGAAAGAGGAAATCTAATTCTGACCTGGAGTCAAATTGATGCCAAAGGGAGTTTATGGTTTTCTTTACTTTATAAGCTGTAATTGCAAATACAGTTTCCTTCATTTAAAAAACTATTCCACCCTGAAATTTTCAAACAAAAATAGTTTGCAGAAACATTGGCAAAAGACATCTTCAAAAGAAACTAACTAGTTTGAATTAAAGGAAAGGGAGAGGAGAGATGGTGGATATTTTTAAAGGGATTATGTTTTCAATATTTTGGGCACAAGATGTCTAATTCCTACTTTTTAAAAGCATTTCTCATTTAAAATTTAAAACTAGATTAGTAATTTAAATGTGCTTAATTTGTAAATAAGGTAAAAATAACCTGAATGTGTATAAGATAACTTTAAGAGAAGAAACAGTAATATGAAAGTCCTTTCTATAAATATTAAATAGAAACAAAGATTTTATCAATAAATGCCATAAAATATAAAGTTTTATATTATGCAATTAAGAAAGACATAGTAGGAGCCGTCAGGTGACATGGTGGTTAAGGCTGCTGGATTTCCACATGGCCCACTGCAGTTTGAGTCCCAGACCTGGTGGCTTGCTTTTTCACTTCCCCTGTCTCTCTCTCTCACTCTCTCTCTTGCTCTCACTCTGTCCCTCTCTGGTCAAATTAAAATAAATAAAATAAAATACTTCTTAAAAAATGTTTAAAAAAGAGAGAGAGAGAAAGATATAGTAAAGATATGTGATTCAGTTACCAGAGGTATTTTGGCTGATTATTTGTACTGGAATATGTAATAGTATAATTTAATATTTAATTACAATGAATAAATGTCCTTAGTACACAGTAACTATAGAATAAATTGAAAATCACGACTAACTTTGAGATTAACTGACCGATCACCCTTGCACAACTATTGGCTAGTGTTCAACATAAAACACATCAGGATTCCAGTTTTACAAAGTTAGTGTACTATTTCAGAGGGTAGGAGGTTAGGGTAGGGCAAGAAGTTAGCATTCTAGCCTGGAAAGGTTACCCCCTTTTTACTCCTTTTTATAGTAGGTTTCAGTCTTTACACTGATCTACTATTACGGATTTTTAAAAATTTTATATCAAAATAAACTCATCCAACTCATCCTTTACCTCTTTCTATGAACTTTCTGAAGTACCCTTGTGCGTGTGTGTGTGTGTGTGCATGTACAGTTCTCACACTCAGCTATTTTTGATGACAGTGCTTACTGAATATGGACTTTCACTGCTGAAACCATGTTTGACCACGGTAGCACAAGATAACTTAGAAATGAGTTTCAAAATGTTTTTGGTTTACCTTTGAGTGAAATGTGTCAGATACTGAAGCGATAGCTACCATGACGAACACAGGAGCTGCCTGAATCATAGAGGATACCTAAATGTTGAACGGAGGCACTGTGGTTTATTTATTTGTTAAATGGTCATCCCAGTGTTAAAGGGAAAGATAGAGGTTCTTACCTGTTTCTAGAAGGAAATGGTTAAACACACTAAAAACAAAGGAGCTGGAAAAGATATCCTGAGAAGCATCAGATCTGCTCAGGAATAGGGCTAAAACAGTTAAGTTTAGAAATGCAAAGTCATTTCCCAAAATGTTAGCCCCCAAAATTCTGCCAAAAAGAAATTGACTCATCAAAACAAAATAAACCAAAGCCAAACCAGAAACAATAAAAAAATAATAGAGGTAAGGATGGCTTTCGAAATTATTTAAATGATAAGAGCCATTGTGAATACTCAGCAGAACAACATACCAAGTAGTGAGACCCAAAGGTACTTGGACTGGGGAATGCTTGAAGAGGTAAATGCTCTGCGGGCTTTCTCCAGGAGCAGACTGTTAGAGGATGTATGATTACAGTCTGCAAAATATGACAGGTTCAGGGAATTAGAACCTAGATTTTAGAACAGTAGAATTAGGAGCTAGCCTCTGAAATTTGAAGGAAATGTTTGCAAGTGAAATCTTTTTGATGTGGTATATATGGAGAATAAATGGTATTAAGACAAGTTTAAATGCTTCACAGATAGTACTACCTTTATTCACTAGGAAGGGAAATTAGAGATGATCTTCTTAAGTCCCTGAAGGACCATTCCGCAAGGCCACACTAAATCATCACTAACCAAATCATCCCTTGGTTCAACTCTCAGAAAGAAAATGTTAAAGCTAAGCAATGCTGCTACTCAAAAGGGCATTTCTTAGATTCTGCCTCTATTAAACTGGAAAGGACATTAAAGAATACCGAGTCCAGCTTCCTCATCGTACGGATAGGGGAGCTGAGGTGTGGAGAGTCTGAGACCTTTATCCAATGTCATGCACTTGATGACAGGCTGGAAACAGAAACATGGCTTCTTTATTTCTGCTCCAAAGTGCTTTCCATTATGCAATATTGACTAATCAGGGACATTTCTGTGTTCATTCATTGTGGTAAAATGTCATTCATGGGGCAGTAGGTGGTGTGGAAGTTAAGATGCTGGATCCTATGTGACCAGCTTTGCAGTTTGATTCCCGATGCCAGTGGTTTGAGAATCATGCCAAGTTCACGTGCACGTGTGCTCAAAATCCCCAGAAAGTGGAAGAGGGGATTATGGTGTAATTATTCCCCTTGGTGGTGGGGGGGGTGATTTCTCACTTTCTCTCTTTGGTAAGCGTGCTTGCCCTATACTAAAACAGAAAAAGAAAAAAAAATAAAAAGTATCCATAACATTGACTGCCTTCTTACAGAGATAACCAGGTTAAATAGAACTGAGTGTGTGGTGGTTATGATGCTGGGCTCCCACATGGTTGAATGCAGTTCGAATCCCAGTCCTGGTGGCTTGCTTTCTCACTTTCCCGTTCTCTCTCTCTCGTCAAATTAAAAAATAATAGCAACAAATAAAATAAAATAAATAATTCTTAAAAACAACAATAACAACAAAAACCTGAGTGCCATTATAATCATCTGTCTAGAGGCTTTATTTTCAACACCAAGGCAGACACAGTAGTCCATTGTTCTGTAACTAATCAAAACTAGTTTTGGGTGAAAACAGT